ACTTGGGTTTGAAACCAGGCTTTACCACCTACTGTCTGTGTAAACTTAGGAGAATTTCTTAACTTTCGGGGGGCAGCCTCACTCTACTTATTTTTAAATGTGTGGATGGCCTCTAAAGTCTCTCCCTGCTCTAAATCTATAACCCTAATCTGCAAGGCTAAAATCCAAATGCTAATCAGGGTTAGCAGCATAAAAATCAAGGCCAGGTTACTAAGATTAGGAAAGTCAATGTCAGCAGTCAGGCAGTCAGAGAAAGCAAAAAATTTAGGGACAGGAAGGAATCTTAGCCATCACCAGCTAGCCCAACCACTTAATTGTGTAGCTGAGGAAATGGATGCCCTGAATGGTATTAGAGGACTAGATTAAGAGTCATACAACTGGGATTTAAATCTTGGTTCTTTTATTTGTTGTTATTCAGTCATTTTTCAGTTCTGTCCAACTCTTTGTGACCCCATTTGGGGTTTTCTTGGTAAAGATACTGGAGTGGTTTGCCTTCTCCAACTCATCTTACAGATGAGGAAGCTGAGGCAAACAGGATTAAGTGACTTGCCCAGGGTCACACAGCTAGTAAGAGACCAGATTTGAAATCACAAAGATGAGTCTTCCTGACTCCAGACCTAGCACTCTATCCACTGTGCCACCAACTAATAGGAATAATATCCAATAGTATGGAAATACATTTTGCATGATTTCACATGTATAATTGATATGTTGCCTAACTTCTCAATGGGTAAAGGAAAGCATGCAGGGAGAGAGAGAATTTGGAATTGAATTTTTTTTAAATGAACGCTAAAAATAAATAATTTTTAAAAATAATGGCCAAGATGTAAACCTAAGTCTTCTGACTCTAAAAGCAATGTTCTTTCCAATATATCACATTGCTTTGCATATGATAGGTATTCAATAAATATTTTAGTTAATAAATGAATGGTTGAGAGGAAACAAAGTCTGTGGCAAGTATATTTATGGTAAGTGATCCCTTAGGTTTTCCTGGCCTGGTGTTACAGAAAAGTAACAGGAAGAAGTTGGATCAGTATTTGCCAAACATGACTGAGGGAGGCCAAGGCTTATGGAATGAATATTTCAGTGGAGGTCAAGAAACTTGGATATTTAGTCCTAGGTCTGCCATTAACTAACTAGTCACCTGACCTTAAACTGTCTATGGCCCACTTTCTACACATGTAATATGATGACAATAAAATATATTATAGCCCCTTGCAGGATCAATGTAAGGATGATATGAGGAAAAATAAAATATATTTAATGAAAATGTAATCCTTCAAGCGATTGACTTATGAAAACTATTGGCAAGAAAGAAAAAAAGATCAATGGCAGAGCCTGAACTAGGATTTAGATTTGTGAGGACTTTGTTTATTTCACTAGCCCATCCCATTCCCTATAAATATGTCCCAGAACCACTACCACAAATGAGTCATTGAAGCTGGGCTCATCCAAGACTCTAAATAGCAAAATTTCTTGTGTTTAAAAATAGCCCCAGCATGCTCTGCACCATACAGTTAATGTTCACCAGAAGGGATTAGAGCTTCATTCAATCCAACTTCATTATTTGTAATGAGAAAAAGTCTACAAAGAAAAATTTGGAATAAAGAATTCTGACATAATGTGCATGTGGTTTCATTTCATTTGCAGCACTTCCTATTTCCCTTTAAACCCATTCTCATGGGACTCAAGCACTTCTGTTTCAGCATGAAATACAAAATGAACTTTCATAAGGGGCATTTCTCATTTTACCCAAACTGGATTGCACATTGCCAATTTCACAAATACATGTGGCCAATGGATTCCAAGAGAGAAAGTGGAATAGGAAGTAGATGCAGTAGCCTGGGAAAGGAGAAATAAAATTATAAGATTTTCTGGAAATTGGTAGACTTTTAGCATTTCAGTTGTAGAAGAAGTTTCCTCTTTGAGATTTTCCAACACCAATCAAAATGCAAGTTCAGTTAAAAAATAGATTGATATATTTTTCTTTGTGGGCCTACAAATAGACATTACAAAAGCCTGTGCAGGATCATAAGTGTTTCCCTTAGCATTGGAATTAGCAATCCTAAAGGCTTGGGAGTCTCAAGTGGCAGAGTAGGAAAACATGAGAGAAGAGGAAATATGGTGATTCCATCTAGCATTCCATCTCTATCCCTTGTGTAGTATTTGACTTTTCTCTTAACTATAGATCTCATAGGTAACTTCCCCCCCATGTTTTTCTAATTTGTTATGATATGACCTTTCATATCTAGATTGTGAATACTTATTAAAATATTAGTCTCTGAAAAGTTGCTGAAGCTCAAAATACCATCTTGCAGATGACATTCTAAGAAGTCTTTGCAGTTAAGGGACTTTATGTATTATTTTGAAGTCACTAAAGAATCATTAAAAATATTCTGAAACACCACAACTAATATCACATGAGGGTTTTAGGGTTTGTTTGTTTTTTGTAAATTTTTTTCTTTTAAAGTGCCTAGAGATGAAGCTCTCCCTTATAAGCTTAGCAATTTCACACTTTTTTTCTAAGAGAAGAATAAAAGTTTCAGTTACTTAGTAAACAGTCTATAAATGTATATCCTGCTTCAAAAGAGCAAAATATTACAACCAGGAGATTTTTGAGACTTGAGAAATGCCACAAAAGTCCTTCATCCCTTTCACATATACCCATGACCATCTTTTCTGTACCCTTTCTTCCCACCTTCTTTATCTTTTTTCTTAAACTCTTTTTCTTTTCTTTCCCTTTGTAAATTATAGGTTTTCATTGAATAGTGATGAATGAATAAAAAAGCAATTATTAAGTGATGAATATTATATGAAGAATTGGAAATATAAAAGCAAAAGCAAATACAGTCCCTGCCTCAAGGTGCTTACATTCTAAAAAAGAATGGCAGAACAAGTAGTGGTTTATGAATGTAATGGAGTATTATTGTGCAGTAAGAAATGATGAATAGGCAGATTTCAGAAAAACCTGGAAAGACTTGTACGAACTAATGCAAAGCAAAATGAGCAGAATCTGGAAACATTGTGTGATGATCAGCTATGAATGACTTAGCTCTTCTCAGCAACACAATCATCCAGGACAAATATAAAGGACTCACAAAGGAACATGCTATCCACATCCAGATAAAGAACTGATGGATTCTGAATACAGATCGAAGCATACTTTTTTCACTTACTTTATTCTTTTTCATGTTTTTTCTTTTGATCTGTTTCTTCTTTCACAACTATGACTAATATTGAAATATGTTTTACATGATAGCACATGTATAACCTATATCAACTTGTCTTCCATTTTAGGAAGAGGGGAGGGGAGGGAAGGAGGGGGAAAAACTTGGAACTCAAAATCTTGTAAAAAATGAATGTTAAAAATTGTCTTGACATGTAATTGGGGGAAAATACTATTAGAAGGACCATCTTCTCCACACCCCCCCAAAAAAAGATTATGTCCTGCTTCACTACATACCCATGCCTTATTATTCTGAAGTCTGAAGTCTGTCACAATATCTAGGAATGCTGCTTTTAAAGTTCACTGAGACACTCCAAGGAATCACAAGGCTTCTTCAAATCTCTAAACAAGTCTTGGCCCAGAGTCTTTGCTCCACATGGCAAATATCTTAGGACTCTGGTGTGTTCACTGTGGAAACCATATAGCAGCTCTGCTCACATGTCCAGTGCTATCTGCCAAGGGTCACTGATGCAGGGAGTGGAAGCTATGTGGGAAATTCATCCATCCAGTAGCCTTGCCACCAAAATAAAATTCAACAGAACTGAGGAAATCAATGATAATATCCCATATGAAGTAACAAGTGGGCCTTTTCCTTCCTTTTTGGTGAAACAAAACCATTGATTGTTGATTTCTCAACCACAAGGAAAAATAAGCTTATTTTTGCTAATTCTGAAATGTGCATATCTCACATAATGTAGTCTTATGTTTTTTTTTTGGGGGGGGGAATGAGAGCTAATTGATAAAGTAGATCATTTTATAATTTTTGTATATAGGATCATAGATTTTGAGCTGAAAGGAATCTCGGAGGTCATTTAATCGAAATCCTTTGTTTATAGATGAGGAAACTGAGGCCAAGAGAAGTTAAGTAAATTGCCCCAGGTCACACAAGTTGGAGGTGACATAGTCTGCATCTTGAACCCAGGTCCCCTAACTCAAATTTCTTTGACCTTTCCACAGCAGCTGATGCTTTGAATTGATGACTGCTAAAGAACAAACAAAAAAAAAATCAAAAAAAAAAACCCCAAACACAAATACTTTAGCTTCACAGACCAAAAAAAAAAAAGGTACTGAAAAGCAGCACTGCTTAATCTAACTCTTCTTCACATTGAAAGTGAGACTTACCTAAGTAAGAACTTTGTCCAAATACCCTTGATTTAAATATAAATCAATGTTGTTGTTGTTGTTCAGTAATGGCTGACTCTATGTGACCCCATTTGGGGTTTTCTTGGTAAAGATACTGGAATGGGTTGACATTTCCTTCTCCAGCTCATTTTGCAGATGAGGAAACTGAGGCAAATAGTTAAGTGACTTGCCCAGCATCACACAACTAGTAAGTGTCCGAGGCCAGATCAGAACTCAGGAAGATGAGTAATCCTGACTCCAGCCCCTGCACTCTATCCACTGGGCCATCTCACTGCTCCTATAAATCAATAAACACCACTAATATACAAACTCTAATCTACTTTTTCAGAAAATCTCCTTTGAAATCTCCTTGTAAGGTGAAATTACATTTCTATTGAGTTTTCCTGAAAAGCTATCAACTTTAGTCAATTTCATAGAAAACTTGGCCTTCCTGCTTTATAGCTGCTAAGAGCAGGTGAAAACTAGAAATAAATCTATATGGGGCCTTATTTTCTTCAGTAGCTAGCTGCTTTGTGGTGGGGCATTTATACCGCTCTTTATCAGAGCTCTCAGGTGCCAACTGAGTACAAGCCACAAGAGGGAGGAAATGTCAAGATTTGGGCATTCTTACTACATACGGTTTGTATTTTTATCAACATACTTCAACTGCGGAAATGCTTACCCTTGAAGATAAGGAAAACAACCACTCACTTCATCAGGAAGACATATACAAAATTTCTATAAAAGCCTTGAACTTTTTGTAGCAGCTTCCTGCAAGCCACAAATGACAGTTCTACAATGTAAGGAGAGCAACTGAGATCTTTCAGCCTTGTTTTGTCGATAGATTCCTTTCTGCTCTGTTAACAACCCACTCAAGCCCTCTGACATGGGGCTAAAAGCCAGGGACATCACTATCGGTTATCATGGCTGCTTCAGGTATGACCGAATCACATTCTTTTATACATTAGACTTGATGGACATACATGGCTATACTTTCTACAATGAATTGGCAAACAACGAATGATCTCCCAGAGCCCAGGAGGCAAAGCTTCATCTTTACACTTGGGGTTTTTTAAGTTCAATTCTTTCTGATGAGAGATTTCATGAAAGACAGAAGTTGTCCACAGTTTGAACTAAAGTGTCTGGAACAACAAGCTATAATTAATAGGCACTTATTTTGACTGTCCCAGCTATGCTTCCAACAAAAAGAAAAATTAGTTTCTCCCTGAAGTACTTTCTCATTAAAATATGTCCTTAATACCAGGAGCTAATAACAGGCAGAAAACTAGCTGAAGTGAAGAAAATCCTAGAGTCAAAGAGGTTTGTTCTGGGGTTGGGGGAGGGGAGGAAGTGTTAAGTTCTATCATTTGTTATTTCTTTCTGGAAAACTTTCTTACTATACTGTTTAAATTGTGACCTGACAAAATAAAATATCGAAAGATAATGGGGGAGGGAGCTCATTTCAGATAATGAAACTGCATCCATAGTAATGGCAGGGAATTTGAATGTGATTCTAGAAACAAGAGTACTTCTAGATAGTTTAATGTACCTGTGAGATCAAGGAGTTGAATACTTCCTTAAGGGAAGAGATCACAGCCAGATGTGCCTGCCTAACCAATGTGAATCTTCTCTATGTCCTGTAAATTCTCCACAGGGATCACCCAGCATTTGGAAGGCCTTCTTCTCAGCCTCTTGGCATTGCATGGCCATTAATGGAGCACATGAGCTATCCATTGGCTATCCTGATTTACTTTTCCCCCCCAGTTACATATCTGTTGCCCTTAAATTACAGCAACTGCTTAAATCTCATTATTAAAAGTTTGATTCACACACAGTTAAATTGAAGGGCTATTCCAGAATTTATTATGCTTCAGGTGGATTTTTAAAAAGTGGGGGTAGTCATCATCATCTCAGACAAGGCATCAGTAAAAATAGACAAAGTTAAATGACAGAAGCAGGGAAACGGCATTATGCTTAAAGGCACCATAGATAATGTAATAATATCAATACATAATGCACCAAATGGCATCCAGTGTAAATAGTTGAAGGAAAAATACCATCAACTTATAGAGGAAAATAGACAACAAAACTACAATAGTTTGAGACCTTAATTGATTGTAACAGCTGGGAACCTTCTAGAACTAAACAAATCTAACAAAAGGATAAATAAGAAAGAAGTTAAGAACATGAGTAGAATTTCAGAAAAGTTAGTTTTGATGGCTCTTTGGTGATCACTGAATAGGAAAAGAAAGAAATATACATAGGACCTTTGCATAAACTGTCCATGTGCTAAGGCATAAAAACTTCATAAGTAAATGCAAAAGTGTTAAACATTCTTTATTGACCACAACAAAATGAAAACGATAATCAACAAGGGGGGATTTGAAGAAATAATTCAAACTTAGAGACTAAATAATTTAATCCTAAAGAATTGGTTGATCAAAGGCCATGTTTTAGAAACAATAGACAATTTCATCAAAGTTCAATGGCAACATTTTAATAGAAAGTTGGGGACCTAATGTGGTTAAGGTGTTAAGAATCAGATTACATTTTGTAAATTAATTAATCCTTCCTTTGTGACTATTCCTTTGTATATGTTTTCTCACCTAGTGGGGTTTAAGCTCTATGAGAGGAGAAAATGTCTTGCTTCTATATTTGTATCTTCAGTGCTTAAAACATTGCCTAGCACATTGTAAACACTCAGCAATTTTTTAAAAATTCATTTATAAACAACCAACCATTATTCATTAGCTAGGTGACTCCAAGAGCTGACTTCAAATCCTAACTTAGACACTTATTAGCTGTGTGACCCTGGACACATCATTTAACCTCTCAGACTCAGTTTTTTCCTATGCAAAATGAGATGATAAATCTCTATATGTGATGTAACTTATTAATCATTTATTATATTATAGGCACTGTGCCACGTACTGAAGATACAAAGTCAAAAATGAAACAGTCCCGGACATCAAGGAGCAAGTGGAAACAACATCATGGATAAAGGGTTAGAACTGGAATAAAGAAATCCTTAAATCCTGCCTCAGACACTTACTGGCTGAATGACCTTGGGCATACCACTTAACCTGTCTCAGTTTCCTCACCAGTAAAACAGGGATAAAAATAGCACCCATGTCATAGGGTTGTAGTGAACATCAAATGAGATAGCATATGTAAAGCACTAAGTAGTATGTCATTAAATTCAATAGCCTCTAAGCTTCCTTCTTCTCCCTAAATCTCTAATCCCCATGGAAAGAAGATTGTCCCAGTAGGAGGATAGGGAGGACCAAAAGCTAGAGAGAATTAATTTTAGGTTGGGGCATATTAATCCTGAAAGACATCAAGACCCTCAGTCAAGAGTTGTGAATTGTAAATTGACATAAGTACATTTTTCCCCCTGTTCATTAGTAGGAGAACGTGACCCAGGTTTATATGTGGAATATGTTGTATTGATTATTCCTGAATTTGCTTTATGGCAGAGTAAGTACTAGGGCAGTGGTTTGGAAAGTGGTCATGAGTGGAAAAAGTTTCAGAAGCCACAGCTTACTGGATAGAGTGCAGGTCCTGGAGTCAGCAAGACTCATTTCCCTGAGTTCAAATCTGGCCTCAGAGACTTACTAGCTGTTTGACCCTGGGCAAGTCACTTAACTCTGTTTGCCTCAGTTCTTCATCTGTAAAAAATGAGCTGGAGAAGGAAATGGCAAACCATTCCAGTATCTTTGCTAAGAAAACACCAAATGGGGTCAGGAAGAGTTGGACATGACTGAAAAATGACTGAATGAAAACAATAAAATGATTAACCACTTGGCCATAAACTATAGCCTTAGATGTTAAGATACTGCCCATGGTCATATAGTCAATGTGTGTATGAGGCAGGACTTGAACCTCGGTCTTGCTAATTCTAAGGTCAGCCCTCTATCCATTATACTCCATTGCTTCTCTGCCTTTCATTTAGTTAATAAATGAACAATGAATAAAATTGGCCTGAATTAAATTCATCACCAGTTAAACTGGAAACTCAAACCAACTCAAACTTGAACCTTGAATGCAAATAATGCCAACATCAGCAGGGAGGTCACATCTAATCAGTGATTATCATAACCCCTAACAATACACCAGTTGGATAAACATACCTAATTATTTACACACACCACAGAAAATTTGCATTTTTCTTTTTCTGTGAAAGAAACAAACACAAGAAATCCTGGTCATGTCATCACATCTTTTATGAGAGGCAATATCGTACGTTGAAAAGAACACTGGATTTAGGGTTGGTAGAGGTAGATTCAAACCTGTTTCCCTGGGCACCTGAATGACATTGAGCAAATTATTTAATCTCTCTGTGCTTCAGATTTTCACTTACAAAATGAAGAGATGGGACTAGTTGCCTTCTAAAGTCTTTTCTAACTCTTTATTTATGATCTTATGATTTCATTTTTGATCCATTTCTGTACCATGGAATTATCATTCCAATCTGTCCAAATATGAATTCTAGTTAAGACATTTTGACTTTTTCTCCTCCAGGCTACAATGTATAAAAACATTTTGGAAACTTTAAAGCTATGAACAAATATCAACTATACCAATAGTCATACATAAAGGCACTCTCACAGGGGAAACAATTCGTTTTCATTTACTCTATATTACATAGTAAATGTCTCTGTTATAAAACAGATGAACCCTGACTTAATAGCTACAGCCAACTACAGAATCATTAACTTCATTAGACTGAAATCTTCTTGGAACAGTTAAGATGATTGGCATTAAAGGCACATGCTAGAGAGGGCAGGATGCACATGATAATGGAATGAGTGGAATTATGTTCGTGTTTTTGCTAGAAAAAACAAGATACTCAAGATTTCCACTGGGACTAGGGTGGAAACTAACATGACATGAAATCTCAGGATAGTTGGTAGATGCTGACTGAGAAGTTCTTAGGCAGTTGAAGATTTAAGAAAATCAGCAAGATGACTATCTAAAATCTGACATTTTTTTTTAAATCTGACACTTTCAATGTATTTGCATGATCACATTTCCAGTAGCATTAAGAGGACACACAAAAGCTAGTTAGGAATTTGGATTCTTTGTTAGTAAGCCAATGCTTCATATTTATAACAAAACGGTAGATGAATTTAACATTTTGCTCTGATATTAATGGAATAAATATTCCCTCATTAAATGCTGAAGATAAGATGATGGATTTTTGTTTTGTTTAGCTTTGGTTTTTTGGTCTAGTAGAAATGTAATAGTGCAAGTAAATTGGGTTGGGGATCATAGATCATAGTGTTTAGAACAAGAAGGAATATTAGAGATCAGCTAGTCTAATCACTTCATTTTTATAGATGAGGAAACTGAAGCCAAGAAAGGGGAAGGAACTTTGCCCAAGGTCACACAGGTAATGAGTGGCAAAGTTTGAATTCAAACCCAGGCCTTTTAACTCCAAATCCAATTGCAATTCCAATTCTAGTGGAGCATCATCTTTTCTATTATGTGAAACATAAAGACATGTTTTTTTCTTTTTTTTATTTAGGCTATATAATTAGGTCAACAATTATGACAGTATCCTCAGTAATGTCTGTTTAATCAGCCTTTCTCTCTACTTGTCATTCTATTGATTACAGGGAAATTTTGATTTATTATAGAAGCAAATGGCAATTTATTTTTAATGTTTAGTCATGTATATATTTTAATGAAATCTTGTAAACTGATAGGCCATTTCCCATAAAAATCCAATAATATTATAGCCATTCCTTCATAACATTCTGGAATTCCTTATCATGCATGTCTGAACTGGGCTCTACCTTCCTTTTCAATTACTTCCAAAAATTTTAAAATAATTCTTGTTTATATTAATTGTAACTTCAAAAGGCATATTTATTCTTTTACATCCACATTAATTACCATGATCTATCTTTAACAAATGAGTACATAGACAGGTTTGGGGTTTTTTTTTTTTGTACATTGCATTCTGCTCCCGACATGCACTTTATCTCTCCACAGCAATATGTTTCTGCCTAATTCTCTTAACCACAACATTTAAAGTCTGGCAACTGTTATTTCCTAAATAATATTGATTATAATGCATAATTGTCTTTATATTCTGCCTTAAGTTCAAACTGTGTGCCAAAAATTATATCTGAGAATATTTCTCTTGAAATAAAACCATGAGAACCTTAAGCAGAAGACTGCCTTAGTGTCTGTTTCCCAACTCGTAGGCAGAACTCTAAAGCATCTGCATTTTCTTTGTCCAGTATGCCTTTTTTAACCCTCTATATTGGACCTCCAATGTGCCCTGAAGTCAGAGGGCTCCTACTAAATATCAGTCATTTAATAGTTTCTCAAGAACAAACCAACATTTCTTTGTATTTAAATAAAAGCCATAACCCTTGCTATTTCAATTGGACCATTTTCCTCCCCAAAAGCCTAAGTAATCCATATAATGGTAAAATCATATGCTGTTTAACTTTGATTAAGACTCAACCTTTTGCCATAAGGTGTTATTCAAAACCTCATCTCCAACTTCTGCAGGTTGTATAGTAATTGTTTGCTAAGGGAATTTCCTCATTGATTTCTAAGTCCACAGTGATGCCCTCTTTTGCTCTTAGGACAAAGACCGCCTTTTGAAGTCCCTTTTGTGTTTATTCAAAGCAGCACATATTCAGAGCAGAGAGAACTAAGGTATATATTCTCTTATAATTTAGATACCAGACAGCAGTTTTACCAAAATGTATTGAACATTAGGTTGCTAATGTTGTTGTTTCACCAACCCTTCACCCCAACTGTAGTGACACAAGTAGTGAAAAAAAATGAAATCTCTATTTTTTTAATGTTTACCAACTATATGCTGTTACCCACTGTAGATGAACGATGGAAATAAAATCTTTTGCCTTTAATAATAAGCAACAATTAGAGTATATGAAAAGTGATTTTTATGCATCAATATATCACCTGTAATCTATAAAATCAACTGAGAACCTACCACATGTTTTATTTTTTTATCTCCACAAAGAAGCTATTAACAAATGATGATCAATATTGGTTTGTAGTAGATTGACCATTTACATTTCTTATTGCAATGCATGATCCAAATGGAAATGATTGCTAATTTCTTTTCTCCATTACTCTAGGGTAGTCAAGCACCTTCAAATAATACTGAAATCAAACTTGTAGTTAAAACGACTCTGCTTGAAAAATTTCAAGGGTACTGACATTTACAGAGTAAATGATAGGGCAAAAGTAGTAGGTCTTATACCATCCAAAGTTTGGTAAGTTAAAGAAAATGAAGTAGTGCTAGAGGAAAGGACTTTCCCTTGGTGGGAAGAGGAAGGAGAGGAGAGGAGAGGAAACTCCTCCTTCTGTAATTATAGAAGACTCATACCCAAGGAGGAAAATTAGGAGTTCATCCAAGAAATGATACATTCTCCAAATTAACCTGATTGAAACATATAGAGTTTGATAGAAATTTTGTCTAATTATTAACTTATCAGGTCATTAATTTATAATATTATTAATTAAATAAATAATTGAATTATTTAGAATGTTTTCCAGTGAACGTATTACAAAATTTTTGTGACTTGTAAAGACATTCCTGAATGGAAATGACATCCTATATTTTCTCATTCCCTTATGCCAATTTTTTATATTCAAACTTTACTTTATTTCCTATCAAATAAATAGCACCTAAAACATTTTGACAAATAGGTCAAAATGTTTTGGGTTTTTTTTTTTACCTAACACAAATATGAACTGTGAGAGAATAAAGCATTAAATTAGGCAGAATTTCAATACCATCAGAGCCAGCTGACAGAGGAAATGCACCATAGCAAGACAAGATAGCTTATTTGACTGAGACAGAAATTAATCTTTGACATGAATGGAACTTTTCAGGAATTATTGCCTGAAGCATTTAACCAGGAAATCCTGGAACCATTTCTCTTTGACAGCATTAAAACTGTTAAATACAGGGAGAAAGAATGAGAATTCAGGAATATAAAAGTTTCCTTTCTCTAAAAGAGAACCCAATTATGCATGATACTAATCTAAATATCAGCATTAACCCATTAAACCAAGTGAGCTACTTCCCCAAATTGCACTCCTACTCACAATTTAAATATCCAGAGGGCATTTGCTATTCCCATGCTCTGGAACGTGCCCTGTGACCATACACTTCTAACATTATAACTCCTAAATCCCTACCAGTGAACTTTCCGTTAAAAATAGACCAATTAACTCTTAGAAAAGGCATTTTAGTAATATGTGACAATAAGTATAGACATTATACATTATCCTTCCCTATAATATGGGATATATATAATAATATATAATTAGGATCTATATCTATATCTATATATCTATATATATCCTTCTCCCACTAAAACACATGATATCCATGTGGAATGTGGGCACCAACTTAGAGTATAGTGGTAATAAGGCACACATGTAGATAATACATGTGGCCAAGGCAACTTACAACTTAACTACTGCAGGGCCACAATGTTCCTTCTCCCTATGTGTAGTGTTCATGTGATATGTAGGGTTGATTCTTCTTCAAAACATAATTCTCAATATGTAAGGCTAGCTCTCTTACAAGTCTACACTGGGTGCCTTTTCTGCTACCAGAGTTCATACCCTTGGAAGTTGATTCTTCCCTTGAATAATTGCCTTTCTATACCCAAGTCCATCTGGAGTGAGAGTCTCTGCTTTCTGCAGCATGCAATGTCTCCTACTGGTCAAGTAATTTTCCTTCAGCTCTATATTGCCAATGTGGAAAAAGGGACTCTCTCCCTTAAAGGGATCTCCTCCATATGCAGCTTCTAACTTGTGCTCAGATTACCAAATTTTCAAACTGCTGAATGAGTCAATTTTTTTTTTATTGGCCCAAGGGGTATGATTGAATCTTTCAGTTACTAGTTATTTCCTGGGTAGCATGATTTACCTTTATCTAATGACCAAGTTAAATTTTTCAAATTTATTTTAAAAAACTTGTATTGTGGAGCTGTAGGAAACTCCTTAACACCTCCTTATACTCATAGAAGTTTATAGAAACTAAAATATCAATTTAGAAACTAAAATTTCAGTTTAGAAACTAAGATACCAATAAACATCTGTGAAATATTTCCATGCTTCTCTGACCCAGCCAAGAAAGCAACTCTGCTATTTAAGTACAAGAAATAGCCCCTAGTGGCCAGCAGATAAAAAGGTATTTATTTGTGAGAGTAAGTGGCTAAGGAGAGAAGATTAATTTTTACTGTTATTTCTAAAAGTGGCTCTGGTTAAAATCTGAGAATTGGCATAACATAATATGATTTATATATATATATATATATATATATATATATATATATATATTATATATATAGTTTCCTATGAATGACTAGAGATTTAATTTGTATAAAACTATAAAGATGAAACACAACATGGATAAATGTTGAGTATTATTGTTAGGTCCAACTTCCAGCACTAAATCTTTGTCAGTGGCAGAAGTTCTCCACAACAAATTTCAACAGCCACTATTCTGGGATTTAAATGGAGATTAAATAGATTTTTACTGTCAGTAGCCTGATGGAAATGCAATGCAATCCAGTGACAGTGAACACAAAAAACTTGGATTATGTTGAAAGTTGTTATAAGAATTTTCATTTGTTCAGAGCAGGGCCAACCTAAGTAAAACCATCAAGTAGATCAAATTTGGTTTTGTGTGTGTGTGTGTGTGTGTGTATCCACATCCCTTATCAGTGCTCTTTTCTTTCCTCTTAGTTTTCCATCTCTTCCCCCAGACACATACCTCTGCGCCTATGTTATAGCACATTCTTTCAGTTCTGTTTTTTTTTTTTAGTCATCACATCAAAGTCAACTTATACTCACACCCTTTGTCTAAATATGCTCCTTCTTACTGCCCTACAAGAGATACAGTTCTTAAGAGTTACAAGCATCATTTTGCCATGTAGGGATGTAAACAATTTAACCTTATTGAATACCATGTTTTGTTTTGTTTTGTTTCCTGTTTACCTTTTTATGCTTCTTTTGAGTCTTGTATTGAAGATCAAATTTTCTGTTCAGCTCTGGTCTTCTCATCAGGAAAATTTGAAAGTCCCCTATTTCATTGAATAGCCATCTTTTCTCCTGAAAGATTATGCTCAGTTTTGCTAGATAGTTGATTCTTAGTTGTAATCCAAGCTCTTTTGCTTTCCAGAATATCATATTCTAAGCCCTCTGATCCTTTAATGTAGAAGCTGCTAATTCCTATGTAATCCTGCTTGTGGTTCCTTGATATTTGAATTGTTTCTTTCTGGTTGCTTGTAGTATTTTTTTTCCTCGACCTGATAGTTCTGAAATTTGGCTACAATATTTCTTGGAGTTTTCATTTTGGGATCTCTTTCAGGAGGCTGATGAGTGGTTTTTTTCAATGACTATGTTGCCCTCTGGTTCTAGGATATCAGGACAGTTTTCCTTGATAATTTCTTGAAAGACGCCATCCAGGCTCTTTTTTTTTTATCATGGTTTTAAGCTAGTCCAATGATTCTTAAATTATCTCTACTGGATCCAAATCAGTTTTTTTTTCCAATGAAGTATGTTAGATTTTCTTCTATTATTTTCTTCTTTTGATTTTATTTGCCTGATTCTTGATGTTTCATATAGTCATTAGCAATTATTTTTTTCAGTAAGCTTTTGTACCTCCTCTTCCATTGGCCAATTTTACTTTTTATTTTATTTTATTACTATTTACTTTTATTTTCTTCTGTGGATTTTTTTTTCCATTTGGCCAATTCTAATTTTTAAAGAGTTGTTTTCTTCAATCAATTTTTTGTGCTTCCTTTTTCAAGCTGTTAACATTTTTTTCCATAATTCTCTTTCATAACTCTTATTTCTTTTCCCAATTTTTTCTTCTACCTCTCATATTGATTTTTGAAATCCTTTTTGAGCTCTTACCAGAGGACTTTTTGAGCTTCAGACCAATTCATATTACCCTATGAGGCTTTGCACATAGGCATTTTGACATTGTTGTCCTCTCCTTAGTTGGTGTTTTGATCCAGATAAAGCAGCAAGGTATAGCATATTCCAAGCAAGTCAAACTACCGACACCACCAGCATCTTGACCTCTATCTCCCCAAGGAACTAGGCCACATCCACACAGTAATATATAGCAGAGATAGGATTTCAACCTAGGTCTTCCTGACTTTAAGACTAACCATATTTGCTTTTGTCTAAGTCATTCCTTCTAATATTTCTCTTGACCTTTATATCTGTGTATCTTATATTAATGTATCTATTTTTATCATTTGGCTTTCCCCCTCATGTTTCATTTGTCTTAATCCCTTATGCTTTCATATTTAGTTTTTGTGTACTCTTTTATATTTTCCCACTTCTCATCTTTTGGCTCTTCATGTTGGATGGAAACTATTTTCCTCACCCATTTATCTAGAATGTTTCTACTATGATCAGATTCTAGTGTGATGTACATCACTGCATAAGCCATTCAAAAATCGAAAGGTACAATGGTCTAACAGAAAGACCCTGGGGCTGAGATACAAGATACAGTCTCAGCATTGCTGGCTAGCTTTGCAAATGAGGCAAATCACTTACCTCTCGATGACACAATGTTATCCTATTTAAATGAGGATAGAGAGGGTACAATTATTGTCAGAGTAAGGAGATTATAGACATAAGAGCACTAGAGAAATGTAAGGTGTTGAAATGAATTGCCATTGTAAAGATTCCCTAAACACCAACCAAAAGACTTGTAACATCTGCCAGTGGATAAAGAAGGCAACATTAAATTTTATTTAAAAAGGAATTCCACACGTCCTACAATATAGTCTGGTCTGCCTGTCTGAGGAACAGCTGACAAAAAGAGCAGGGACTAGTAGGGAGAAGCACAGGGGGTATGGAGAGCAGTGTTCTGATATACTCTCTGCAAGAAGTTCTATTATTTCTGGATTTTAGTTTTTCAAAAGAGTCATTTCTGGGATCCAGTAAGTAATGATTCCATGCATGGACTTCATTATTGTATATGTCTAACACTGGCAAACATTTACTTCCACAAATGAAAACCCCACTGTGTAATTTCATTTAATAAGAAACTGAAATAATTTTTGGGACTCTGTGTGTGTATATGCGTGTGTGTGTGTGTGTGTGTGTGTGTGAGTGTGTATATACACACACATATACGGATGGACTCTACATATATACATATATATACACTGTGATAGTCATATATTCAGAAAATTTTTTAAAAATAGAAAAAATATTTTGGAAATAATTTAATTTTCAGTAGTATACAATATTTTCCCACAATGTTCCCAAGCCATTTAGCATTTAACTCAATTTCTCTTTTTGGTAGTTCTCATTTTAAAATTGTATTGCTTTATACAAATCAATTTTAACCACAAAAACACTTGCAATGTGATGGAAATAATAAAGAAGTTTTATGTTGCCTTCTAGGGAATACTTCCAAATTAAAAATGAATGAATATACTTAGAAATTAGTTTCTATTATTGAAAATAAGTGAATGACAATGCTATTTTTTCCCCTTAGCATGCGGCGACATGAGATTTTTGTGCTGATTCCCCTGTGGAGGAAACAAGGAAAAGAGAAGCATAGAGTTCCGAATTCATGTACTGTTTCCATTTCTCATGAGATGGTGACCAATTTTTGTTTCATTGTGCAACTGATTGAGTAATTCTGAAAAACAAAGACACTGGCAAGTTCCATTGACCTCTAGAATAAAGGCATTGCATTTTGCGGAAAATCAACTTTGAAAGTTAAACTTTTCATTGCCTCTAAGCCAACTATTAGATGTATTGCAGAAATAGATTTTGGTAGGTGTTGTGTATTTTTAAATGCTGAAGAAAGATAACTCATAAAATGATGTTTTAAAACATATTCATGCTGCTAAATATTCCCTAAATTCTTGATATAATAAATAGTTGTCCAAAATATTTAACACTGGTATTATATTAACAAAAATTATAATGGCAATAATACTAATTTGCATGCATATAGTGATTGATGGTTACAGAGTCCTCCATAAAATTTCTACTTTTATGCCTAATAATGGTGTGAGCATGACCTTGGGTTCTCCAAGGCTATGCTAGTGGGGCACAATCTCTAGCAGGTCTTACCATGCAGAAAATCTTTAAGAATTGGTTGGAGGGATGGCATTTCTGTCTGTTATCTGGAGACCAGCCAATTACTGAAACTTTGATTTTTTGCTCTAGAATTATTTTATCTAAAAGAAAGGAAATTAATACTGTTTTTGGACTATTCCAGAACTTTTATTTTTTTTATTTCTATATTGAGCCCATCAAAAAAAAAAAAGAACGCTATCATGAATAGATCTGTAACTCATTTGGTATTTTAAAGAGAGATTATGCTATTACAGTTATGTTCATGTTATACAGCCTCAATCCGTATTTAGAATTCTAAATGATGAACAATATCATGATCACATTTTAAAGGACCTAGTAACTTCTTGGAATTTTAGAGCTGGCCAGGACTTTAAAGATCATCATTAATACTTGGTTAGAGGTACAGGTGATTCCAATTGTGCTATCTTGTGTATTATATAGATACATAGATCAGGAATGTGTGTGTGTGTGTGTGTGTGTGTGTGTGTGTGTGTGTGTGAGAGAGAGAGAGAGAGAGAGAGAGAGAGAGAGAGAGAGAGAGAGAGACAGAGAGAGAGAGAGACAGAGACAGAGAGACAAAGAGACACAGACAGAGAAAGAGAAGATGACCTCCTTGGCAGTCTGGTGAAGCCTATGGACCCAGAATAACATTTTTAAATGCATGAAAAAAAAATACAAAGGAAACCAACTATATTGAATTACAATTCTAGTAACTGTAAATATGTAAAATGTGTATGTGTGGTTTTAAGTTCTTTCAGTAAGGCAAAATTTCTGATAGTTCTCTTCAAGTTGGAAACACTATTTGAATCTTGGCATCATGAATCCAGGATGAAGAACCTTTGATTGACTTGATGAAGTTACAGGGAAGTTCATCTCCCTGCTGTGACGGCTGTTGTGACTGGCCCCTTGTTGAGGGGATTTCAGACATCAACTTAATTCCCAGCTTTTGGGGATGAACTGATTGATTTGGGCCATTGTGGATGAATTGGTGATATTTTGGGTTTCAGCTATAGCAGGTCTAAATCCTCCCTTCTCCCTCTGGAAGGCTGGATGGATCCCAGAATCCTCTAGGAACTCAACGTTGCTTACTAAATGTCCTTTCCTCCGAGGATACTAGGATTCACAAGCTCCCACTACTTTGTCACCTCGTTCCCTTTTCCTGTTGCTTGAGTGCACATGTAACACTCACTGTCCCCTGCTGCTACCGTCTCTAGGACTGCAGTCAGGAGGAGGAATGATGAGTGGGTCTCTGGAGTGGGGATGGTGGTAATATGTTAATGGACCAGAATTACCCATCTGCCTAACCCAGGTAACATCTGTTCTTGTGTCTCAGTGCTTCCTGGATCTCTCTAAAAGAGAAATAGGACAGCCATAAGGCTGACAGTTTGTTCACTTTTATGGAGTGGCTCTGACCTCTAAGAGCCTGAGCCAATAAAACCACCCCCAAATTCAACCATAACAGTATAAACCAATCAATTCACCCCCAATTAAGAGACTCAAAGACAGGTCTTCAGCCTTCTCAACAATGTGCCAGAAGACATCTTGACACACTGTCTGGGAAGATGTACCCTCCTATAGCTTCAATGTACTTGATCAGGGAATTTGTCCAACAATCTTCTACACCTAAATCATACATCTCAGAGTTGTAAAGGCTTTCAGGAGTTAACCATCCTCCATTCAATTCTTATTCTGATGTCTCATTGCGGAGCAGAGGTGACCATAGGAATGCAGAAAGTATGAATAAGGTATACCAGGGTGTGCTACCCTGTGCTGTATACACACCAGTGGAAGTAACCCTGGGGTTTTGAAGCTATGCCAGTAGGGTAAAAGCTCCAAAAGCTCTCTTTAACCTGGGAACACTTTCAGTCCAGGCTTCATTCACAATGTATTACATGTCTGTCATCTAAAGTTCAGTCTAAGGTTAGAAAGACTCATTACCAGAAAGATGGTATGTTTCTTCAGGCCTTAAAAACTGATTAAACCATCTATTAAATCTTGGAAACGTGATCTGTACTGGTAAAGGGAGTATAAAATTAGAGATAAAACTAGAGATAGTTTGAAATATTGGAGAACTAATAATGAGACATTTATAGTTTAATATATCAATGGATCTGTTATCTCATCCATTTGAACCCTCCCTGTATTGTTATAACAATCCATCAATGCCATCCTATGTTCTCCCAAATAATTTTCAGAGGGGACCTGGGCAGGTGGCACATTCCTGTAATCTCAGATACCAGGAAGGCTAAGATTGGTGGATCACTTGAGCTTGAGGATTCTCAACTGCAATAAGTCAAATGGGTATTCATACTAAATCCAGCACCAATATGGTGAGCACCTAGGAGGGCGGGACAAGCAGGCTGCTTAAAGAAAGGTGAACCAGTCAGTCAATCAATCAACATTACTAAGTGCCAACCATAAGCCAAGTATTGTGTAAAGCTCTGGGGATACAAAAAGGGGGAAAAAAATAGTTTCTGCCCTCAAGGAACTTGGAATCTAATGGAGGAGACATTACAAACAAACAAATACAAATAAGCTATATACAGGATAGGTCAATTTGTTGTTGCTGTCATTGAGTCATTTTTAGTCATGTCTGACTCTTCATGACCCCATTTGGGGCTTCTTGGCAGAGATACCAGAGCAATTTGCCATTTCCTTTTCCAGCTCATTTTACAGATGAAGAAACTGAGGCAAACAGGGTTAAGTGACTTGCCTAGGGTTGCAGAGATAGTAAGTGCCTGAGGCTGGATTTGAACTCAACTATTCCTGACTCTAGGCCCAGCACTCTATTCACTTCACCACCTAGCTGCCCCAATAAGCGGGGTGTGTGGGGTGTTCAAGGAGGACTGACTGCCACCTGTAGTGTAGAGGCTTGGTCCTTTTCAGGGCTGCTCATCCACCTTTGGTGTCTACCTGGCCCTCAACTCTCACCTGTAGCTCCAAGAAGCTGTAGCATGTGCAGCAGCCACACCCTAGCAACCTGGGCAGACAGTTTAAACCAGGTTGAAGGTAACAGGCCTCATACCCACTGGTGAGGTAGGGGGGTGTCTACTCCAAGTATGTGAAGACTTGCCCCAGAAGAATGGGCAGATGAGAAAATTTGTTCCAATGGCCAAGAAGGCAGCTGAAGCAGGCACCATGGAGTTCTCAGAGTTACATCCCTGGCCAGCACCAGTCCTCTTGACTTTCACCAGTCATCTTGACTTTTGTCCTGCCACTGAACTTAGATGACTCTGGAAGAGAGAGTGAAGCTGCTGACTGTACAACTCTGCCTCACTCAAATCCAATTAAATCACCCTGTGATGTCATTGCTTCTCTTAAAAAACAAACAACAAACAACAATGTGGAATGAGTAGGACTGGAGGGTAGACCAGTAAACCCCTCCAAAAGCTTTCCTTTATAGATAGCAGGACCTAGACTCTCTACTAACCCTTCACTGTCTGCAGCTCTGCTTGGGTTGAAGGTTTGAACCCCCACAAATATGATACCCCCTGGTATCCCTTTCTACAATTTCCTTCCCTATTAGATTGCAAGCTCCTTTTGGGCAGGGACTATTTTTCCTATTTGTATCCCCAGTGCTTAGCAAAGTGCCTGGTACTTAATAAATGTTTATTGAATTGAATTGAATAGGAAATAATGAAAAGAGAGAACACACTAGAATTAAGACGGGTTATGAAAGGCTTCCGGTAGAAGATGAGGTTAAAGAAAGCAAGGGAAGCCAGAAGGCAGAGATGAGAAAGAAAAGCATTCCAGGCATGGGATTCAGCCAGAGAAAATAACTGAAGCCAAGAGACGGAGTATCTTTTCTTTCTTTCTTTTTTTTTTTTTTGTGGAGTAACCAAAAGGCCAGTGTCACTGGATTGAAGAGTATGAAACAGAGGGGAGGGGAGGGATGGAGGAGAAGAAGGTATTAAAAGACTAGAAAGAGGACAATGAAGGACACTGAATGGCAAGTAGAGCATTTTAAATTTGAACCTAGAAGTGATAGGGAGCTACTGCAGTTTATTGAGTAAGGGGTGGCATGGTCCGACCCATGCTTTAGGAAAATCACTTTAGTTGCTGAATGGAGGATGGATTGGAGGAAGAAGAGACTTGAGGCAAACAGACCCATCAGCAGGTTATTGCAATAGTCTAGGTATGAGGTGATAAGGGCCTACACAAGAGTGGTGGCAGTATCAGAGGAGAGAAAGGGATGTATTCTTGAGGTGTTACAAAGGTGAAACCAGTCCAGGTCAGAAGCAAAACAATCAAAGCTCTGTGCCTATCAGCAATGAGATTGGGCCTGAGTGATCACTCCACTTTTAGCCCAGGTGAGATATGTAGACCCAAGGAAGAATTTTCAGAGAGGTACCCAATATTCTAGAAGCATTCCTCTGCACTTTTTGTTTTTTGTTTTACATTATGTGCGCACTAGGAGACACTAAGACTGTCCATCTTTCATGTCTTCAGTTTGCTAAGTGACATCTTCATTCTCCTTGATCATGCATTTCCTCAATGATATCTCATAAAAACTTCTTGCACATAGTTCATCATTGAAAATATGTTGTAGTCTATTTGTTCCCACAATGCATCACTCCAATACCTTGTAGGTCACCTAAAACTCTGACTCTTCAGAGACTATTAGTGTTCCAAGATTTGCAGCCATACAACATGACCAAGGGAACATTTGTGTGAAAATAATTTGTGTGTATGTGTGTGTGTGTGTGTATGCACACATGCCAGAAAACAGTTTGATATTACTGAAACAACTACATGTTTCCCCAAATGCAATTCATCCTACTGTTTTTCTCCTATTCATTTCTGTGCCCAAACCACTGTCCATCTACAGTGTGTGTTCCAGATCAATGGACTGATCTATTAACTCAATGAAACAGTCTTCCAACTGCCCATTGTAGTCTGGACAATATGTGATTTGGTCAATTTAATTTTTCCTTTATGGATAATTAGGTTGATTGCCTTTTGGTAATTATGGATCTTACTAAATCCTGTAATATTTAAAGATTTAATGAAATTAACACAATATCATTTATCAGCAGGAACATCTGGAAGAGCTTATACCATCTAAACAGAGGTGAGGACCTGTGAAGACCCTTAGATAGCCTGTGGCTTTCAATCCAGTTGCAATAAGCAGAGACTATGCTGCACATTCTGGTATGAAGTGGACACTCAAGGAGTTCCTGATGGCCTTGAACACTGCTGTGTTCACAGCAGTGTTATGGCACAACCATAACATATTTTATGCTGTTTCCTTCTCCTGGTCTCTTGCCCTGGGAAGGGAAAGTATCACCATTTCTTCTGTTCCAAGTTTTTGCCTTCTTGCCTGATCAGTCCAAGGTACAGGAAGGCCTCTCCCTCAGGTCATGATACTACAGACTGAAAATCTCTCTAAAGGTTTCACTTAATGATTGATTTAGTAACATCCTCTATCCCAGTGATTCTGAACCTCTGTAGGTTATCATCCAAACTCCCTTCCTCATTCCCCAAACCTACTACCTGATTCCTTATTCCCATAGCCCTCAACCCATTTACCCCAAAGTCCCAACCAAATACTACCCACTTTAATCAATGTGACCTCTGGAATGTCTTCTCCACAGGCAACAAACTTGTCTTCGATCTGAAATCTTTTCCTTCCCCACTCCTTTCATCTTCTGGTTCTCATTGAAACCTGACTCCCTTCCGATGACACAACCTCCTTCACCACATTTTCCAGCACTGAATGCACTTTCACTCGTTCCACTTGACTTTATGATAAAGGTAGGGGGATTAAAAACTCCTTGCTCCCCAAGAACACTTCCATGTTCTTGCCCTATACCATCACTTAGTAACTTCTCCTTCTTTGAAGTACATACAATCCACATCTGCCCTCCCAATCCCTCCAATCAAAATCCTGGTATCTGTTATCTACAGATTTCCAGGATACTCTTCTTCCTTCCTCAATTCATTTAGTATCTGGCTCATAATCTTTCTCTCCTCTTCAACTCCTTCTCTCATACTAGGGGATTTCAACATAATTATTGATACTCCCTCAAACACCCTAACTTTCCAGTTCCTCAACCTACTCATTTCTCATGACTTACTCTTCCATCCCACCTTAGTCACATACAAAGATGACCATACTCTTGATTTTGCCATCACCTACAATGCACAATCTCCATGTTCAAGGACTCTGAAATGCCATTATTTGCTCACAATCTATTGGATTTCTACTTTTCCTTTTGCCTTCCGATACCAAAGCCTATTCTGAGTCCATACCATGACCTCCAATCCCTTGACCCCTTATTTCTCTTTCAGGCTATCACCTCTGTAGTAGCTACATGCTCCTCTTTCCCCCATGTTGATCCCTTGGTGAACCAATTCAATTCTACAGTGCCATCTTCTTTTGAGTTCCTTTCTCTCCAGAATTGTGCTTTGCCAAGCCTCAGCCTTAGATGTCTCCCACAATCCCGTCTTTACTCCTACACACATGCTACTGAACAAAAGCAGAGAAAGAAAATCACACAGCTCTTCTGATTGGGTCCACTAAAATTTATGTTATACAAACTCAACTTGTCCCTCACTGCTGCTGGGAAATCCTTTTATACCTTCCTTATCAACTCTCTATACCACTTGCCATAGCAGTTATTCCAAACCTCCTCTGACTCCCTCTCTGCACCCATTCAGCGAAGAACAGCCTCATGTATTATAAGCTGCCTCATATTTTACTGAAAAAATAGATGTTCACCAGGAGGTCTCTCTCTTCTCACCTCCTCCTCAAATCATATCATTCCAATGCCTTCTACAACTTTCTCCTTCACCTCTGAAGAACAAGAAAAGGTGACCCCCACCCTTTCTCAAGACAAATTTCTCTACCGGCAAAAATGATCCCATTCCATCCTGTCTCTACCTGTGTACTGACTGGTTTCCTATTGCCTACAAACATGTCCATGTGTTCTCCATCCTCACAAAAATTTCCTTAAATTCTTCCATCCCCATTATCATCCCATATATCTCTCTGTGTCTTGTGGCTAAACTCCTTGAGAAGGCATCCACAATAGGTGCCTCTATATCCTCTCCTCCTACTCTCTTCTTAACTCTCTCTCCTCAACATTCAACAGAACCTCTTCTGTCCAAACTTATCCATGATCTCTTATTTGCTAAATCCAGTGGCTTTTTCTCAACCCTCACCCTTCTTGACCTTTCTGCAGTCTTTGACACTGATAATTACCTTCTCCTTGAAACACTCTTTTCTGCTTCCAGGAGCCAAGATGGCAGAGTGAAAAGGTAGTTGCTCTCACTCTCCCCTATCTATCTCTGAAAACCCAGAAAATATCACCCCAGAAAAAAACCCTGGAACACCTGAACTAGAACAAAGACAATGAGCAGCAGTGCAGGAGCCCAGCAAACAGGTCTCCCAGTGCCTCAGCAAAAATAAGGGAGGCAGAACTACAAGGGGCCCCAGGCTTATAAGTACCCTGTGGCATTCATCTGAAAGGAGGTGAAGAAAACAACCTAAAGGCTTCCTAAAGCCCCGGCCTTGCTGATTCCAACCCAACACCAGGTGAGCTGTAGGAGCCCTGAGCCTCCAATTGTGAAGAAATCCTGAAGCCCAGGTGGTAGAAGGCAAACACCAACACCTGGACCTCCGAGTGCCTCAGTGAGGGGGGGGGAACCGGTGGAAACCAGCTCAGAAAACCACCAGGAGCCTCGGCACTCCACCACAAAGGAATCTCCCAGTGCATTAGCAGAAATGAGGGAGACAACACTGCAGGGGGCCCCAGGCAGATAAACACCCTGCAGCACCCATCTAAAAGGAGCTGAAGAAAGCTAAAGGAAAGGAAAAGCAGGCAACCTAGAATTGCCTGAAAGTTCCAGCCTTGCTGATTCCAGCCCAACACAGGTAAGCTGCCAGAAACCTACAGCCTCCAATTCCAGCATAAGAGGCCCCAGCACACAAAGCCAGTGACCAAGACCTAGGCTCCCAACACAAGAAGCTTGGGTCAGTACCCTCTGTTCCCCAGCAGGAGAGCTCAATCTCTTTAAAGGCCAGGGAATAAAGAAACACCATGAGTAAAAAGAAACTACCATAGATTCATATTATGAGAAGAGTGAAGATCAAGACAGAAATTCTGAAGAGGACAACATTGTCAACAAACCCACATCTGCAACAACAAAAGGGAATATGAACTGGTCTGAAGCCCAAAAAGCCTTCTTAGAAGAGCTCAAGAAGGATTTTAATAGTCAAATGAGAGAGGTAAAAGAGTCCTTCAAAAATACAATTGGCCAATTGGAAAAAAAATACACTGAAGAAAACAAGTCCCTAAAAAACACAATTGGCCAATTGAAGAAGGAAGTACAAAAACTAACAGAAGAAAACAATCTGTTAAAAACTAGAATTGGACAAATGGAAACTAATGTCTCTATGAGAGAGCAAGAATCAGTCAAACAGAAACAAAAAAATGAAAAAATAGATGAAAATGTAAAATACCTCATCAGTAAAACAACCACCTGGAAAATCGACTCAGGAGAGACAATTTAAAAATTATTGGACTACCTGAAAATCATGATGAAAAAAAGAGCCTGGACAGTATCTTTCAGGAAATCATAAAGGAAAACTGCCCGAAGTCCTAGAACCAGAAGGGAAAATAACCATAGAAAGAATCCACATCACCACCTGAAAGAGATCCCAAATTGACAATGCCAAGGAATATAATAGCAAAATTCCAAAATTACCAGATGAAAGAGAAGGTGCTGCAAGCAGCCAGAAAGAAACAATTTAAATATCATGGAACCACAGTCAGGATTACACAGGACCTTGCAGCTTCTACATTAAAAGACCACAGGGCATGGAACATGATATTCCATAAGGCAAAGGAGCTTGGAATGCAGCCAAGGATCAATTACCCAGCAAAAATGAGCATCATTTTTCAAGGAGAGGTGGATATTCAACAAATAGGAGACTTCCAAACTTTCCTGATAAAAAGACCAGAGCTCAACAAAAAATTTGATCTTCAAGTACAGGACTCAAGAAGGACTTAAAAAGGTAAATGGGACAGAAAGATACAATATGTTGTTAATAAGGGGGGGGCTGTTTAAACCCCTACAAGGGAATATGAGACTTGCAACCCTTGAGAACTGTATTGTTATTACACCTTGTTAAAGGAGTATACATAAAGAGGGTGGATATTAGTTGACTTTGATGTAATGATAAAAAAAATCTAATCAAGTGGGTTAAATGGATCCAAATAAGTGGATCAATCTGATCTTAGAAAATGTACTGAGAAAGGAGGAGGCAGACAAGGGTAAATTACATTACAGGAAAAGACACAAAATCCTATTACAGCAGAGGGAAAGAAGGGAGGGGGAGAGCATTGTTTGAACCTTACTCTCATCAGATTTGGCTCAAGAAGGGCATAATATAATCAGTTAGGTATAGAAATCTAACTTGCCCTATAGGCAGTAGGAGGGAAAAGGGGAAAGAAAAGGGGGGGGGAGAAGGGAGGGAAGAAGCAGTAAGACTAAAGGGGAAGAAAAGGGAAAGGGATAATAAAAGGGGGAGGGACTGAAGGAGGGTGGTCAAAAGCAAAACACTAGTGAAGGGGGAAAGGAAAAAGGAGAAAGAAAAGCATAAATGGGGGAAAAGGATGGAGAAAAAGACACAGATAGTAATCATAACTGTGAATGTGAATGGGATGAACTCTCCCATAAAATGGAAACGGATTGCAGAATGGATTAAAAACCATAATCCTACAATATGTTGTTTACAGGAAACACATTTGAAAAAGAGTGACACATACAGGGTAAAGGTAAAAGGCTGGAGCAGAATATATTATGCATCAACTGAAGCAAAAAAAGCAGGGGTAGCAATCCTGATCTCAGACAAAGCAAAAGCAAAAATAGATCTAATCAAAAGAGATAAGGAAGGAAACTACATCCTGCTAAAAGGCACCATAGACAATGAAGTAATATCATTACTAAACATATATGCACCAAATGGTATAGCATCCAAATTCTTACAGGAGAAGTTCAGGGAGTTACAGGAAGAAATAGACAGCAAAACTATACTAGTGGGGGACCTGAACCTCCCCTCTCGCACTAGATAAGTCTAACCACAAAATAAACAAGAAAGAAGTTAAGGAGGTGAATAGAACATTAGAAAAGTTAGGTATGATAGACCTCTGGAGAAAACTGAATGGGGATAGAAAGGAATATACTTTTTTCTCGCAGTACATGGCACATACACAAAAATTGACCATGTACTAGGGCATAAAAACCTCACAATCCAATGCAGAAAGGCAGAAATATTAAATGCATCCTTTTCAGATCATGATGCAATAAAAATTATATGTAATAAAGGGCCATGGAAAGATAGACTAAAAAATAATTGGAAACTAAATAATCTAATCCTAAAAAATGATTGGGTCAAACAACAAATCATAGAAACAATCAATAATTTCATTCAAGAGAATGACAATAATGAGACAACATACCAAAACTATGGGATGCAGCAAAGCAGTTCTTAGGGGAAGTTTTATATCTCTAAATGCTTACATAAATAAAATAGAAAAAGAGGAGATTAATGAATTGGGCATACAACTAAAAAAACTAGAAAAAGAACAAATTAAAAATCCTCAACTAAACACCAAATTAGAAATATTGAAAACCAAAGGAAAAATTAAAAAATTGAAATTAAGAAAACTATTGAACTAATAAATAAAACTAAGAGCTGGTTTTATGAAAAAACAATAAAATAGATAAACCTTTGGTTAATTTAATTAAAAAAAAAGAAAGAAAAACCAAATTACTAGTATCAAGAATGAAAAGGGAAGCTACCACCAAGGAAGAGGAAATTAAAACAATAATTAGGAATTATTTTGCCCAACTATATGCCAACAAATTTGACAATCTTAGTGAAATGGATACATATTTACAAAAATATAAATTGCCCAGATTAACGAAGAGGAAGTAAAATACTTAAATAACCCCATCTCAGAAAAAGAAATTGAACAAGCCATTGATGAACTCCCTAGGAAAAAATCTCCAGGGCCAGATGGATTTACATGCGAATTCTATCAAACATTTAAAGAACAATTAATTCCAATACTATATAGACTATTTGGGAAAATAGGTGAAGAAGGAGTCTTACCAAATTCTTTTTATGATACAAATATGGTGTTGATACCTAAACCAGGAAGAGTCAAAATAGAGAAAGAAAATTATAGACCAATTTCTCTAATGAATATAGATGCAAAAATTTTAAACAAAATACTAGCAAGTAGATTGCAGCAACTTATCACAAGAATAATACACTATGACCAGGTAGGATTTATACCAGGAATGCAGGGTTGGTTCAATATTAGGAAAACTATCAGCATCATTGAGCATATCAACACAAAACCAACAGAAACCACATGATCATCTCAATAGATGCAGAAAAAGCTTTTGATAAAATACAACACCCATTCCTATTAAAAACACTAGAAAGCATAGGTATAAATGGAGTCTTCCTTAAAATAATAAATAGCATATATCTAAAACCTTCAGCAAGCATTATATGTAATGGGGACAGGCTAGAAGCATTTCCAATAAGATCGGGGTGAAACAAGGATGTCCATTATCACCACTGTTATTCAATATTGTACTGGAAACCTTAGCTTTAGCAATAAGAGAAGAAAAAGAAATTGAAGGCATTAGAATAGGCAAAGAAGAAACAAAGCTATCACTCTTTGCAGATGACATGATGATATACTTAGAGAATCCTAGAGAATCAAGTAAAAAACTACTTGAAATAATAAACAACTTTAGCAAAGTTGCAGGCTATAAAATAAACCCACATAAATCATCAGCATTTCTATATATTACCAACAAAGCCCAACAGCAAGAGATAGAAAGAGAAATCCCATTTAAACTTACTGTAGACATTATAAAATATTTAGGAGTCTACCTCCCGAAACAAACCCAGGAACTCTATGAACACAATTACAAAACACTTTTCACACAAATAAAATCAGATCTAAATAATTGGAAAAACATCAGTTGCTCATGGGTAGGCCGAGCTAATATAATAAAAATGACAATCCTACCTAAGCTAATTTACTTATTCAGTGCCATACCAATCAAACTACCAAAAAATTATTTTATAGAGTTAGAAAAAATAATAACAAGATTCATTTGGAAAAACAAAAGGTCCAGAATATCAAAGGAACTAATGAAAAGAAATGCAGGGGAAGGTGGCCTAGCAATTCCAGATCTTAAATTGTATTATAAAGCAGCAATCATCAAAA